TCTCCGTAATTAAAAGTTCTATATTCTAAAATGTCCTGCATAGCAATAAGGAGAGAGACTAGGCTGACATCCTTGCCATCTAGAATGTCTTGCTTAACTGAAGCTGGACTGAATGTGCAGGGGTGATCACGTGTGAAGTGGAGGGAAGAATAGTAATGACACTACCCTGTGTGTTTGAGGGTGGAGGTGCGGGGGCTGGAACATCAGATGCGTTGATAACTGTAGGGATAATGGTCTCTATCTTGGTCATCCTCTCGTTAAGCGACTGAAGGGTAGACTAGATAGGTGACAAGGTGTCTTGAACTTGTCCCAAACTGCTGGCATGGGACAACTGAGAGCTTGTGCCGGGTCTGGGATCGCTGGACTTGACCTCTAGTAGTTTATACAGTTCCATTTTCCTAGCTGGGGCCGGGAAAGGAACATTCCTATGGTGTAGTTCTACCAGCAGTTTAGAAATGGTCCAGGATATTAAAGACCCGGGGGTAGCTGGAATGAGAGATTCAGTAGGTGAGCTTGGTCTAACGGGCGTGCTGGGCCTGGAAGGAGTGCCCTGGAGAGACATGTCGTGTCCCTTGGATTGATTCTTGTGACACCCTATAAAGACATTAGTAAATGAAAAACTAGTTTGAAAACAAATGGTGATATCCCGTATATAGAACTGGCTTGCTAGCTATTGCCGGTTGCGAAGAACTCAACTGCCCCATGACAGGTGAGTCCCTGCTAATTGCCAAGTGGCGAAGAGAGGCTCTACATATGATTTGGCCCATGGGAAATTGTAGCCACAAATCAATGTGGCTGGATGTTGGCCTCTCGGTGACAGTATGCAGTAAAAATGCGTATGGCCGTGACAAGTGACATTCTAAACACCTGCAGAAGTGGATATGAGGCAATTAACGTGGGGCCGTGTGGGCGATACCTCCGCGAGAGGTGGGGAGTTGGCCTCATGGGAACACTAACGTAAGCAAAGTAGTAAGGCCAGCTCCTAACCCTTGCAGCCAGGTCACTATCCCTAGCATGGGGCTTGTCTTAAAGAAGCAGCGTAAATGTAACCATGCATATCTAAATAGGCTGAAAAATAGAAAGAGTAGGAAAGCTGGAGGGAGAATGTAGCTGGAAATGACACCTATCTGAAAAAAGATCAACAATTCACCTATGACAAGTGAAGTACTGGATTATAGCTTAATGTATACATACAGAACGTACCCTAAACAGAGCTGATGAGAGTGTACTATCACTAGAGAGGGGTATGTTAAGTGCACCTATAAATAAATGAAGATACGTGTGAGTAAAAGAAGAGTTTAAGAGAAATTAAGAATTACCTGATAGGTGTTGGAGTAACTCTGTATCTTAGTGTGTCTAAAGCAGTAATTGTCAAAGCTGGAAAACAGATAGTACTACAGAAGATCTTTGTAAGAATGTAATGTATTGAGGACCTAAACATGGGTCCGATGCAATAAGACAGGGCCCTTAACTGAGCACAACGTGTAAACGTAAAAGGCAGTGCAAGGCCTTAATGTACTGGTTTAACTAAATATATGAACATCAAGAAATAAAAATACCTGAAACAAGATTGCTGGAAGAACACCTCTAGGTTTCACTAGAAAAATTGCAAACAATTGATATAGGCACCTAAAATATGTGGTATGATAGGAGAACAACATGAGTACCGAATTGAGGAAATATATATAAATATGTATACAAAGACATGTATACTGAAGGTGTTTGACCTATCGCGCGGCATAATATTAACAACCGTGTGGGACTACTTATTAATAGTATCTTGTGAACAGTATCCCAGACAAACTGGAAAAAGGTTTTAATAGACTACATTTAAAGGATCACTATAGTGTCAGGAACACAAACATGTATTCCTGACCCTAAAGTGTTAAAAGCACCGTCTAGCCCCCCTGGGCCCCTCATGCCTCCATAAATATAGCAAACTCTTACTGTATTCAAGCCAGAAGCTGTAGATCTGCATGCTATTTGCCTCAAAAAATAAGCAGTCTGCTGACATCATCAGAAGTGGTAGCCTGATCCAATCACAATGCTTCCCCAGAGGATTGGCTGAGACTGACAAGGAGTCAAATCAGGGGCAGAGCCAGCATGATTCAAACACAGCCCTGGCCAATCAGCATCTCCTCATAGAGATGAACTGAATCAATGAATCTCTATGAGGAAAGTTCAGTGTCTGCATGCAGACGGAGGAGACACTGAATGTTTGGATGCATTTTAGGCAGCCATGACCCAGGAAGGATCTCCGACAGCCATCTGAGGAGTGGCCAGTGAAGTTATCACTAGGCTGTAATGTAAACACTGCATTTTCTCTGAAAATAAAGTGTTTACAGCAAAAAGCCTGAAGGTAATGATTCTACACACCAGAACAAATTCAATAAGCTGTAGTTGTTCTGGTGACTATAGTGTCCCCTAAATGGTGCTACATACCCAACTAGCAACAAATTAGGATTGCTACAAAATGAAAAATATTAGCACCACCTACAATCTCATTGGTTATTGCCTAGTTTGATAATATACACAGATGAGGAAAGGTTATCAGACTATCCGGTACCCTACCTAAACTCTGCTAGAATTTGTGAGCAATGGACATCTGTGCATGAATGGTGAATGGACATTTTGAATTACATCATTTGTGCCTTGAATCTACCCTTACATTAAATATGTGTTTGCACATTTGTCAAGTTTCAGCGGTTACTTTTTCTAGTACACTTCATCACATCATCTTAATATTTTCACTTATATCAACGTGGAAGCACAAAATGTGCTTGTTATACATGCCATGTCTGAATTGATGTGCTTGACAATGCTGCGGTCGCTTTGTCAGCCTGCTTGTTATCCTGTGCACAATAAAATAAAGAATATCCCCAATTTAAAAAAAAAAATTTTTTAAAGGCGTCTGAGAGGGTGATATGACAGCACTATACAAAATAGATATATGGGCAGTACAAGGCAATAAAGGTGTTTATGCTTACATCAGAGGAATGGGATATTTACAGTGGGAACAATAAAGATGTGAAAGCCTCTGCCTAACACAGGTTGTCTTAGATTCTATAGATACAGGTTATCAAAAAAAGCTTGGATGCTTTTTTGCATCTACAGAATATTCAATTATATAATTGTGCAAAAGGGTTGTTGATCCAAAGAGAATTCAGATTGCCATGGATTGCCATGGAGTCAAAAGGGATTTGTTTTCTCTTTATGTGGTATAATTAGAAATGGCTAAAATTGCTTTGTTTGCCTTCTTTTGGATCAACAGCATAAAAGAATGGGTTTCAAAGTTGAACTGTATGCACTTTAACCTGTTTTCAACCTCAACAACTGCATACCACCATGAGCCATGTCCAACACTGATATTTAGGTTACAGTTACCAATAGATGTGATGCATGCAACTTTTGTATTGGTCACTGTGCTTCACTTTTTTTATCTTAAAAATGCACAATTTACTTTATCCCAGTAAATACTTAATAGAATACTAGGCACCAAATCAACTTTAGGCAAAATAAAACAGTTTTGGTACATATATGTTATGTCCCTGCCATCTCACCACGCAATTTAGGGGTTTAATCACTTTATTTATACAATCCTAGTCAAACCCACTGCATGTGTTTTTATACAGCTTTCCTAAAAAACTTCCTGTAAAGAGAGATCTAATGTTTAAACTTCCTTTACTGTACAATTTTTTTCCATCTAAAATGTATCTCCTGCTCTGTTAAAGGACCACTCTAGGCACCCAGACCACTTCAGCTTAATGAAGTGGTCTGGGTGCCTGATCCTTCTAGGGTTAACCCATTTTTTCATAAACATAGGAGTTTCAGAGAAACGGCTATGTTTATGAATGGGTTAAGCCTTCCCCTATTTCCTCTAGTGGCTGTCTCATTGACAGCCACTAGAGGCGCTTGTGTGCTTCTCACTGATTTTCACAGTGAGAGCATGCCAGCGTCCATAGGAAAGCATTGATAATGCTTTCCTATGTGACCGGCTGAATGCGCGCGCAGCTCTTGCCGCGCGTGCGCATTCAGCCGACGGGGCGGATCGGAGGAGGAGAGGAGGCAGAGAGCTCTCCGCCAAGCGCTGGAAAAAGGTAAGTTTAACCCCTTTTCCCCTTTCCAGAGCCGGGCGGTAGGGGGTCCCTGAGGGTGGGGGCACCCTCAGGGCACTATAGTGCCAGGAAAACGAGTATGTTTTCCTGGCACTATAGTGGTCCTTTAATAGTCTGCTGGAGCCTTGTATGTGTGTGTAATAAAAGTTCAATTTACAGAAAATTAGAAAAACTTCTAAAGTAAGTGAAAATTAAATAATTTGCATGCAGCCTGTGTAAGTCACAGACAGGGTGTGTGGCTAGAGCTGCATAAACAAACAGCGAGTTAACACTTAACCCCTTAAGGACCAAACTTATGGAATAAAAGGGAATCATGACATGTCACACATGTCATGTGTCCTTAAGGGGTTAAATGAATGATAATTGAGCAGTGAGACTGCAGGGACATAATATATGTATCAAAACTGCTTAATTTTGCCTAAAGTTGTTTTGGTGCCTAGTATCCCATTAAGTATTCAACAAAATATTGCACAATGTCAGTGTTTGCAAATGTTCAGCTAAACATAAGAGCGAACAGATGCGGTTTTGAAAAACAACTCACCATTTCAAGTCTTTGTATTTAATCCAGATATTTTCTTTTTGCACAGCAGCAGCATTGCCACAATATTTAGGCAGCCAGCAATTTAATAATCTCTGTACTGAAGGTTGTGGGTATACTTCATTGCATACCACTTTCAAGAATAACATTAAAAATCTTCCATGCAGCCAGGTAAAAGGTTTGCATGACCTCAAAAAATTAGCTCTCAGGTGCATACAAACTGTAATTTGTGTATCTTGAAGAGTGTGACAAGACACTATATCTATAGATCTCTGTGGCATATTCACTAGTTATATCAGGTGACCTGGTGGGGGAAAACAAATGTGATCCCACAAAGGAGATTCTGTTAATAATGGACTCCAACCATACTCCCACAATAAACACAGCCACAAATGACAATCCAATGTATTTTTGTTTTCTTTATTCAAACCAGGAGGTATTTACCATTTAGTGCAAAATGCACTGTACACCTTCAGCCTGAGAATCTACATCTAGAGACGGCTTCTTTACCCCGGAAAATCTGCTAACAGGATGTGGCAGGTGTGGGGCACAAATCAAGTCTTTGCATTGGTGACTGTGGAGCAGGTGGCTGTTTCCCGCTTTCTGCATTATGTCAAGTATTAATATCAAGAACACTCAGTAGGAAGTCAGTGGGCAATATTAAGGTGCTAATTGCACCCACCCCCCAAAATAATAACAATAATAAAAAATAATTCTTAAGCAAGGAGTTAAAATTTATCTGAACTCCAGTGTCACCGGAAACCCTGCAATTAAATTAAAAAGTAAACTTGCATACATAGTAGAAAATTCATTTCTTTTAAAAATTCACAATCTGTAAATGTATATATTTTATATCTTTAAACATAAAAGTTTACAATATATGATAAAACAAAGGCTCAGAAAAATACCCCCTCTCAAAAAAAACAAAAAAAAAGAAAGAAAGAAAGAAAGAAAAAAAAAAAACAAAAAAAACAAAAAAAAAAAAAACCTGAAGAGTTCCATTAAAGCTGCAGATGTCTTCAAACCCTGTTTGGAACTAGTGACTCATTGGCCTTATTTGTGCTGATGGGTCAAAAGATGTAAAAACTTTAGTCCAAACACCCACAGCTTCTCCTTCAAATATAGAGCCTCCACAAGTCTTTAGCAGGTCTTCACCAGGTGATTGTCACAAGTTCAGAGGTGGATGTGTCAAATAATCTCCACTGTGCATTCGTTTTCCTGATGTTAACGCCTGTAGGGGTGGAAACCTTGCACATTGTGATTCTGCCCTCGTCCCAAGCCACTTGCCCCAGTAGGAGGGCCTCCCGATACTGAGGATCCTGATGTGTAAGATTGGGGCTGCTGACTCAGATCAGAGAAACTCTGTCCAAACCCACTCATATCTTGCCCATAACCTACAATAAGAAAACAAAACCACAATGAACAAGTCTTAAAGCAATGAAAAAGACTACACTATGCACAATGAAAAACTACAAACAAACTTTATCAGCTCAGTGCTGGTCAGTTATTGTGGTGCTAATATTACCACCAACATTAACTGACTAAAGATGATGGCAACTGTAAGCCTTTGAGTTTGCATTGCATACTAATATTAAACAATACTTAAAAGGAGATCACTACAAGCTCCATGGGTATAACTGTAAATCTACAAACAAGTAAATAAACCCATATGCAGATGGAGTCAAAAGTCAGTAACACACACACATACCTGTAATATAGGCAGGGTTATTCACTAAGGTGAGAATTCAAAGTGAGTTTAAGGCCAAAATAGTCAAACAGTAGAATTCTCTAGGTAGGCTATTTAATAAATAATGGTAAGAAATAACGGTGAAATTCCATCAGTGAACATCTCCCAGGTATTTTGGGTGTTTAACTTTTGGCTTACCTTGCATACATAATGTCTTGGTTATTAAAATAAACTTTGTAAACATTTTACATATTAAGGCATGTCTAATCGTACACACACACACACACACACTTTGTTGAATTTCAACCCCCATCATAATTTTTATTTATAAAGGGCCAACAAACATATTCTACAGAGCTGTTTAACAGGTGGACTAACAAACAAGTAGATGCAAGACAAGCTGTAATACAGGAACCAAAAGCTGTGAGTCTTTTCAAACAAGTTTATAATTTCAGCAGAGTTTACAATAAAAATAGATCTTAATTTTTACACGGAACATTGGAAAAAATGAATGCAGCTAATAAGGTGTGGGGTGGGAAAGGGAATGTTAACAGTTTAATTGATATGCCTTCTTGAATAAGTGAGTTTTTAGGAATTTATTTTTATACAAGGATTAGAGATTGGGGGGAGTCTAAGGGAACAGGAAGGGCAATACCATAACAATGGTGCAACCCTATAGAATTCCTTAATGTGAGAGGTGGAGGTGCAAGTATTAGCAGAGAATAGACTCAGATCTGATATAGTACAAAGGGGCATAGATGGAATATACACTAGTTTAATAATGAGGATAGATAGAGAAGATAGATAGATTTGAAGGATAGATTAGACAGACAAGTCAGTGTAAGGACTGAGAAGGAACAGGAAGATTAGCCTGGGAATGTGTGCAGTCCAATGACAGGAAATTATGGGAGTTGTAGTACAACAGCAGAGGCTCTGCAATTCAACACCACTGTATTAATATTATCCCCTCCCCATCTGACCAACAGTTCATGCATATCTCCATTGCCTCAACAGATGCTTGAACATTTTTTACTCTAGACCCTGAGGCAATCTTGCATGTATTAAACAGGAAGGGTACAAAGATACATTTCATAACATTTTCAGAGGACAGGGGAAGGCAACTTTGGGAACTACAGATGTTGAGTGATGCTTTACAGCATTATGGCTACACATGCATTATGGGAGTTGTAGCCCACAATACCTGGAGTGACAAATGTTGCCTACCCAGTCATAGGAGAACAAACATCTTCCTTGACGCAAATTCTAAATCTCTGCCCAGAGTTTTATAGGAAGGGGAAGAGGAACAGGAGATACCAATACAGGGTAATAATTGCGAGAGACCAAGTTATGTGGTTTCAATCATCCCTAGTCAGCCAGATGACAGCTGTCTTATTATAAGTCTGAAGAATCACAATCTGTTGTCCCCTGCAAGTTTAATGCAACATCCACTATAGCAGCCATTGGATGATGATTAAACGTCTGCTTACTTCAGCAGACTCTTTAAGGACCTTGTAATGCATATATTGTAGGACTGTCTGTGTAAAACACTAAAATGCAAATGCTCAAAACTCGCCTTTATCACTTCTGTCGATGTTCAGGCTGATTTCCAAATTCACATGCTCCCCAAAGGCCTTCAGCATTAGGAAGGATGATCTAACTCTACCTACCATCTCTTACCTTTTTTGGCCTTCACAGAGAGCTCAAATCCACTCGGACAATTTCACAAAGCAGGCATTTCCTGGAAAGAGTGATTTCTTCAGGCTTTTTATGTAGGATGGGTTTAGGCATGCACTACAACCCCAACCTTTTTTTTTTTTCTCAACCAGCCAAACAAGAGGTTCGGTGCTTGGCAGGGTTAGATGTGGAGATTGGTGGCCCAAATTTAAAGTACTGCACAGCACCTGGTACATTTGGGATTATTTACGAATAGTAAGGGACAGCAAAGCAGCTCGTACTTCCACAGAACCTAGAAGACTATTCTTATGTGGTCCCTCACAGCCTCTTTAGTCTGGTAGGACAACTTTTTAATTATCAATCTCTCCCCCCACCCCTTACATCCCAAGTGACAAATGAACAGGGACTAAGTGGTACATAAGGACAACACTTACCAAATTGGTTAAAGGCAAAGTCTTGCTGACCGCCCGGGGGTTTGCTAAGATCCTGAGCTGACTGCCCTGGGGGAGGGAACGCTAATGGCGCTGCTCCTGGGGTACCAGGAGGAGGTGGTACTCCTGAAGGGACGAAATGATCAGGAGGGTGCGGCCCATAACCATAGCCTGCAATATACAGCAAAGTTTGCATAAGGATGGATGGGAGATAACATGCAGATAGGAGTATCTGATCCTGATATACAAAAAACACATAGGACTGCCTCAACAACAACACTTACCAAATGGGGGTGGTGTTGCATATCCCGTCGTGAAACCCTGTGTTGGGGGGAAACCTCCTGGAGGTGGAGACACTAGAAAAGGGGTAAAGGGTGTTGGTGGAGGAGGAGCACCCCGGCCTGCAGGAGGCCCGTACCCGCCTGTGGAGAAGACTGCATTAGGAAGAACCAAAAGAATGGAAAGGATGAAGTGAAGCAACCCCGAGTAACAAAGACAACACAAATACTGATGGGAGATTGCTTACCAATAGTTTGTCCTGTTGGCATCCACATACCTAAATAAAAATAAAACAGAAGGTTACAGGTTAAGCTCAAGTCAAAAAACATATAAAGAGATTTTATTTTCATTAGGTAAGCTTGCATTAAAAGTTTTACAAATATAGCAATGCCATAAAATAAAGCACAGCTCATCTTAATAAGTTAAATATGAAACCAATGTATCTGTGACTGAGAATGACCGGTTAATCCATTTTAAGCCTCCCAAAACAAAGGAGGACAGCCACTAGGGGTTTTTCGAACCATTATAAGCACTACAGCTCGCTGCATTGAATACGATACCCTGGTAATGGGAGTCTGGGTACTCCAGGTCCTGATCCTCTTTGTAGGTGGATTTACAACACCCAGCTTTTGCACAGCTGCAGAAACCGGTTGTCGATCTTGCTACTCACTGATTAGCTGAGAGAGTCAGTTTACTGCTCTCCGTTAATCAACCAACATATGTGCACCATATTTGCTTAGAACGGACATTGACGTTAGCTAGCTGTAACTTTTTCTGTGCTGTCTGATAATGCAAACGGAGGTCAAGTTACACCACCAGCAGCAGAGTGATTAATCTCTGTGTGTGCGCAGAGTTTCATAGCGAAAAGCTGCAGATACAGACTCCAGGCACCATGAAAACTTCAAATTATTGGCTTGATCGTAATACTTGGAGTAACTTTTTAAGGATATAAATAACAGTTTCTGGCATAAAGGGTGTGGTTAAGCAGACAGGCTTATGGTGCAGCATTTTTCTAAATTTTTTGTGTGTGCAAAAATTATAAATAATTGACCATCAACAGTATGTACAGAAGTCACAACAAGCCTGAACCACTAATGCTATAATGCAGATGGTCACTATATCAACAGATATAGGACATTGGTATACTCACCTTGTGGGCTGTATCCTTGCTGCCAAGGAGGAGCTTGTCCCGTCCATCCATTGGCTGTGCTCTGCATGGCCCTGCCAGTCCACTGACTAGATCCTGGACTTTGGCTTTTACTATCCCGAGGTTCAGCCCGTTTCACTTCAACCTAAAAAAAGACAGAAACTGATCAGTGGGAAGTCCACTGGTTACTGCCCCCTTCCCTCCCACTACACCCCAAATTAAGCTTACAACTAAACTTAGCACTTTATAACTTAAGTCTAATTATTTAAATTAATGACTTTATGTGGGTCAGTGAACGACAACTCAGAAAGAATATGTTGTTGGCCATAGAGCAATAACCTTTAATTGAAAGTAAGTTGTAGGAGTAAAAGTGCTATTTTAATCACAGTAATGAAGGACAATACTCTGTCCCGTGGATACTAGGGGCATTCCTTTTATGGGTTACTGGACCAGACTCTTGAGTGAAGCATTGAGAGGGGTATAAGTGCTTTATCGGTCTGCAAGGATAGTAACCTTGACTCCACTCAAATAAACACACAGTAGAGAAAGACTGGATTCACTGTCAGGGAAATATTTGTTTGACTTTAGAAATATCTAATGGAAGATAAGGACTTACCTTCCCCAGGCTAACGCTTTAAGAATCTCAATTTAATTAACTCGCAAATAATGTCAGAGGGAATGGATGTGGAAAGAGAATCTTACACTAAATCTAACAAAAAAGTAAACAAAACATGCAAGTAATACAAAATGGACAGTTTGGTCAATAGGAAGCATATTCTTCATACTCTGTTGTCTAGTCATATTACACTTTAAAAATCACCAAGTTACTCTACTCTGCGTGTAATCTGAGCTGGGTAACCTACTTTAACTGTGCCTAGTCTTTTTCACGAATGTGCTTCCTACACTGGACATCAGCTAGTAGAATTTGCTAAGCAAATTAAATTTAAAAAAATTAAATAGACACGGTTTGTCTATGAACACAAACTTGAAAAGTGTGCCGTACAATTACAATCTAAAAATTGGATAATTCAGGACACACAATACAGTGATTTAAAACCACTTCCAGCATGTTCATATATATTGTGTTAACTAGATAAAAATAAACAATATATATATATATATTTTTAGCACAGCATTAAAGTATTGTAGAGTAAAATATATTGCTGCAGCTCCATATGGAAGCCACCTGAGCTCCACAGTTGTTGCCAAGGTGATACTCCCACTGGAAGAACTATGGCAAATGTAATCTTGTTTCCCTTGAGGTTGTAGTAGTTCCAGTTTAGAGGTCTCCCCAAAGAGACAGATGAAACAGCTATTGCCGACAGACCAAACAACACAGTATGAACAGATCACTTTACTGCAGAATGGTTAAACTATTGAGAACATGGCTTTTGTATCAAACAATATACAGTAAGTGACCCAATAATGAAACAATTACAACAACCAGTCCTTCTTGAGGTCTTCTGCAGGATAACAAGATAGCAATAGTAAATCTAGCAGTTTCTGCAGCCAGATATCATTCAATGAAATTTGGAGTACACTTGACATCAGAAGGAAAGGTGTCAAACCAAACCTCAGGCAACAGAGATGTCCGTGACGAGAATAAAAAAAAATAAAAAAATCTATACTTCCTTAGGGTTGCAACATCACAATGATGGAGAACCCCATGGAGTTAAAAGACAATCACCTCAAAAATATTTTTCAAAGTATTGAAAGGAAATATTTATTTTTCTGATGCTTGATAAAAGGATCATATTAAAAAATAGTTGAGGTGAAATTTGTCCTTTAACACGCGAACACCAAACATTTATTTTAAGCGAAATCTGTTTCTTGGTTAAAAAAAATAAATAAAAATAAACCCTATTCCCTAAACTGCCAACTAAAGTTACCTTACTCCATTAGTCATTCACCAAGGACATTGAATGTTGCCTAAGGCTTGGTTCCAGCTTAAGGTAAAATAAAACTACAACTACACACTTTTTTGCCCATGATGTCGTGAAAATGCATGTTGACAGCCTGGTCCACTGATTGTTCGTCCTCGAAAGTTATAAATCCAAAACCTAGCCAACGACGAAGAGTGAATCAAGGTAGCAGGGTGTTGTGACACAAAACAGGATGATGAACAGTATTAGGAGCAGAACCAAAAGCTCAGCAGCAAACCCATTTATGTTCAACACCATATTGTTTGGCAGAAATACCCACTGTATGGGGAGGCAATGAAATTCCAGATAATATTGAGGCCGTATAATTGCTCTAACCAAATAAATTACTATTGGTCTTTAGATGCAACATGGAATGGCAATATACAGGGTAAAGTTATTGTTTTTATTCTGAGTATCTCTGACCCAGTGATGAACAACACTGCAGGGTTTGCAGCTTCCCTCTTGGTTAGCATTTTGCTTTGCAGCTAGTGCTGACAGCAGCCATATATTGATCTAAAGCGTTAAAACATATATACAATATCTAAAAAAGACTCTTAGAGCTTTCCCAAACTGGGTTGGAGAAGCCCAAAGTCTATGTTGGAAACAAAGCTATATGAATACACAAAGATACAGGCCAAGTTAATGTATAGCACATTAAAAAAAAAAATTAAAGCAAGAGAATAAAAAAAAATGTTCAAGTTACCCAGACTAATCTGCAAAGTGTAAATAAAGTTTCAAGACTATGGTATTGGAATCCTTTTTAGAGCCGAGATTAAACATTAGTTGTTAATTGAAAAGAGGATATGTCAGTGAAAACTGCAGCAAATCTTGACCAAAGGCTAAATTACCATCACCAGCCTACTCATGTTACACTGTTATATTTAAGTAAGCAGAAAAAAAAAAAAAAGGAACAAAATAATAGAGAGAGAGACAGTTCTTAAAATACACATTCTATAAGTTAATTGGTCTACATAACTTCTTAGTAGGTAGGCATTTTTTTAGGAGAGACTTCAAATGGCAGTCACAAATTGTGTGTTGTCCTTCTAAACAGTAATACTTTATTCAAACATGCACCAATAGTGTGGATTTCTTTACGCTGCTCAAGTGCATGGATTGCATTAAACTCCTTAAAAGGGTTGCAATGAGTATCAAAACATATGCTCCTACAAATAACATACCTATAATGGGACTTAAATACTGAAACTTCATTTACACCCTCTTGACAAAACCCCAACCCTTATTCAACTGTGCACTGGCCTGTACCTGAGTGATAGAGCTTAAACACCTATAGAAGAGAAAGCTAGAGAGAACATTAATCACAATCAAACAAAACAACTTAACAATACTTTAACTTAAATACATAACTAGAAATGTAACAATGAAAACAAATTATAACTTAGCTTAAAATACAAAGGGCAATATCTACTATACATGTATCTTAATGATGAAATGAACAAGAAAACATTCAAATGGCAAACAATTTTGACACATATGAAACAGGCAATGGATGTTTTGAGGCCTGCAACAACCAGCATGTGTCCTAGACTTGCAAGAAAACAACTGAACTATATTAAATCAAAATGGAAAATAAATAAATAAAATGAAGACATCAAGCTCACCCTATCCTGCTTATACTCACAGGATCCTAATTGGTGTACTTGATACTCTTTTAAAAAGGTCAAACCCAAGTGTAACTAAATAACAAAAGAAAAGGCAGTGATAGCAGCTTGGGGGGGGGGAGACAGGGACTTTTCATGAATAATGTAAAATGATTGACACACAAGTCACAGCTTGGGTGTATATGAAATATTTTGGAGATACATTTTAGAGGTTTTTAACTGAATGTAAGTCCGGTCATAGTTTGAACAGAGTCCTAAAACCTCTCCAGCACAGAATGGAGTACAGAATATGCCCCTGGGAACATGCAGACAGGTAATGTACAGAGCATTTTGTCAACTGAAAATTGTTTGCCATCTAAATAGAGAAAAGATTATAGAAATTTAAAAGCATGATGGATCAGCTTTTATTTACCTCTTGGCCTCTGTTTTTCAGCATCATAGATCATGACAACCTCGGTAACCTGTAACATAATTAAGGACATACAGGCTTTCAATCTTCAGAGACATCCAGTGTAAAATGAAATAAAAGGGCTATGTGGTGTCCGTGGACCAATATATAGTTAAAAGGACACTATAGTCACCAGAACAACTACAGCTTATTGAATTTGTTCTGGTGAGTAGAATCATTACCTTCAGGCCTTTTGCTGTAAACTCTGTCTTTTCAGAGAAAATGCAGGGTTTACATTACAGCCTAGTGATAACTTCACTGGCCACTCCTCAGATGGCTGTTAGAGATCCTTCCTGGGTCATGGCTGCCTAAAATGCATCCAAACATTCAGTGTCTCCTCCGTCTGCATGCAGACACTGAACTTTCCTCATAGAGATGCATTGATTCAATTCATCTCTATGAGGAGATGCTAATTGACCAGGGCTGTTTTTGAATCATGCTGGCTCTGCCCCTGATCTGCCTTTGTCGGTCTAAGCCAATCCTATGGGGAAGCATTGTGACTGGATCAAGCTACCACTTCTGTTGATGTCTGTAGACAGGTCAAAAGGAAACAATGACACAGCCAGCAGCTTCAGGCTTAAATACAAGTAATATTTACTATATTTAGGGAGGGATGAGGGGACCAGGGTGGTGGTTTTAACCATATAGGGTCAGGAATACATGTTTGCGTTCCTGACCATATAGTGCTCCTTTAACTAATCTGTAAATAGTAGTGACTGCAAGTAACCCAACTCTAAATGAGAAAGTAAGAATTTTCAGCATAAGTAAACAGGTTAATGAATTAACTTACCACTCCAAATCGTTTGAAGTAGTCCCTCAGTTCAGCTTCCCCACAGTTATGTGGGATTCCTCCCACAAAAATCTTGTTTGATTTACTACTTTCAGTCCTGGATTCTTTTTGCTGCTATAAAGATAAACATGATAATGAAGCATGAATCACTTTCTTCAGTTTCATTCACTCTCCATTACAATATAATTGTACACTGGGGGTTATGTATCAAAGTGTTCTATTCAAAAAATAGTTTAAAGTACTGAAAGTGGGACAATTACTGTTAGAATCAGCGTGACAAACAGGCACATTCCATTGGGGATTACTCCCTTTAACAGTTTTGCATAATTTTTTCTAAAACAGAGAACTAATAAATAACCCTCATTGTAGATCCCACTATACACTAATAACACCCATCAGTTCCCTTTCACTTACTATCCACACAACTCTCAAAACCATGTTCTGTACCCTCACTTTAATTGCTTACCCAGCCTTCTCTTGGTCGAGACCGCTCAGGTTGCATTCCTCGAGGTGTACAAGGCTTTGGATCAATCTGTAATACATAATATGGCTCTATTACAATTATTAATGGACAAATGAAACATCAGAAACCTAGGTTATGGCCAAAGAAGTGGTAATTTGTTATTAACATTTGAAATTTAAAACAATCAAAAATGCTGTAGCTACAATCCCAACTGATAACATAATTGGTTGGATAGAGATACATAGTTGTCCATTGAACATACTGTGCTTGCAGAACCCAAAAGGAAACCGTAGGAAAGTTTGCGCTGTGGCCTTACCTGTCTTAATTTGTGTAAAGGGGACAATAGGAAAAAATAAAATAAAAAGAAAGAAAATAAGAGGCTGCAAATTCTGTAAGGCTGCACAGAAGTTTATTTAGGTATCTTCATGATTGAACAATGTGGAGAGTTAAATATATAATGTAACTCTTGAACAGTTGAATGTTGTTTAACGCTCTGCATTATGCGGATATGCTCATTGCTGTTTCAGAAGTATCATCTCATTTCCTGACCACCTGAGAAGTGGTCCATTTTGGCACTGATTGGGTTAAAATCAATTGAAATCTTTATCCAGCGCAGGGAGTCTCTTCACTGCCTTCCATGAAGTCATCATTACTGAATGCTTGTGTCCTATCAGATGTTTATAGAGAAACAGTCCCTTTTGCCTTGAACTACAGTTTAAAGCGAGTGAGACAGGAAACCAGGTGGTGTTTCAAAAGGAAATTTATAAAAGTGCCTATTTCACTTGAAATCAGCACATTTATAAAATAAGCCTGCCATGGGCATGCAACTAACCCTGGTACAAGAGTGTCCATTTCACTGCACCATAGTGTTAATTTGCTTATTACAGGCTTACAAACTCTTCTAAGACAAGAATAGCGTTTACTTGAGCCACTTTGCTTATGTTGCTTTTTGCAAGTGGCTGTAAAATGGTTAGCCAGCTATAACAGAGAGAGACACAATCTAGTTTGTATGAAACTGTGAACACTTTTTAGACGTAGAATTTAGTTGCCCATTGTGGTCTTCTTTATTAAGTTTCAATAACTGCCAGCATGTTACAAGGTTAAGTTTGAATTTCTACAGTGTAAATAATATATCTATTACAAGAGATTAGAATTTAAGGAAGTGTATGCCAATTACAAGTGAGAAACGAAGACATTTTCATTTAACATGTATATTATAGACTTTTTTTGTAAATGAAGTAATATATAAACGCAAGGTTGTTATTGCTTACATCATTTAGTCACTTGTCTTTTCCCCTTTACTGTCCTAACTAAATATGCACTTTGTATAATCTGATGTTCACAGTCTAATTATGTTGGGTATTCATTCCCTTGCACGAAACTCGCAAGAATCTATTCCTGCTGTACAGCTCAAACAAAAACTTTTAGATCAAGAAATAAAGGCATTTTGTTTTAACTATATCTGCACTGACTGGGGTTTCTCTATTTATTCAGCTGAATTTTTAAAGTTGCAACACAAGTTCAGAACCTAGTATAGCTCTTTAAATACCAATTGGTCACTGCAGAGCCAACATACACTGCAGCCTATTATGACCCATATGGTGCTGTGCATGAAAGCACATGCATGTGTTCAGCGCCATGGAAAGTATGCCCAAGTACACGTGTTCATGTAGCACTACAACCACATGTGAGCATGCATCATGGGAAGATGACAGTTTTTGCACGCATACGTGTGTCTGACATAAATTTGTTATATGCTTACCTCTGCTGCACTCCTCACCCCAGTAACTCTTCAACAGCACTTATTGGAGTTAGGGAAGGTGAATTGTCACTAAGTAAAAGTTAGAAAGTGGCAGTTGCCCTTTTAGAGAATACATGATTGTTTGCAGCATAACCTCTACTGCACATAGAACACACAAAACAAACATCTGACATTAAATACTTACATTCCTACCATCCAATGTATGAGGTCTGCTGGCCAGCACAGTTCCTACGCAGTTGGGATCTTTGAATTTGACAAAACCAAAGCCTCTTGACTGATTTGTGGTTTTATCTTTCATTATCACGCAATCTACAACTTCACCATATTGAGAGAAATAATTACGTAGGGTTTCTGTAGAAGGAAAAACTAAATGAATGAACCTGGTATTTCTAACCCAAGATTATAACATCTCATACAAGGTTTAAATGGAACTTCTTACTACATTCTTTCTAAACAAAGAGATGTGCAGACATAAGACAAAAACAATTGCTTTTTTGAAAAAGGTTTTATTTAAAGCAACTTCCACATAGATGATAAAAAGGATCTAAAACCCTTGGCCTGACGACTGTGAAACACATTATGTAGATCAGATCAACTGGCAGAATTCACAAATAAAAAGGAATTTAATTTACCTGCTGGTACCACAAGTTCCTAGATAAGTGACATAAGCTGTGTAATGAAATTAAGATTCTAATTTGAATCCTGATAATGTGGTATACACAATAATAGAGTGGATCCTTAACCAGTCCTCAAAGCACACCAACTATCAAGTAGATAAAGCGGCACTGTCATGCCGAACTTACCTTTCCTCAATCTCTTCATCTTCTCCCCCTCTCTCAGGACCTGTTCTTTTCTTCCTGTCTTCTTTAGTTTTCTTTAAAATCATAAGACAAAGTAGGGATTCTTTTCCTTATGGAGGTTTCCTCCTCTTGACCAGCGGAGGAGCAAAGTGTGCTTCATTTCCGCTGGTCAGAGCAATTTTCCCATGATCCTTAGCTTTCCTCCCTGTTCCCACGATGCTTCCTGTCAGTATTCCCGAACGTCCTGTCACTTAGACACAACGGCGACAAAACTGCCGAATTGCATCCTAACAGAATGAGAACAGTTCCTCCATTCGTGATAGGATGCAATACGGGACTTTGCTCGGATCACAATTTCATGAAACTCCGATCCTATTTGTGCTGTGGCTGCATCTTGCAGCCGCTTAGTAGATAACTCCCTAATTCCCACAGTATTAGGGCGCTATGTACTAAAATGCTGAAAGACCTAAATGGGTCTTTCAGCCAACTTTACTAATACTAAGTAAAGATTACTTAGTATTAGTAAATTCTGCTCCTACTCGCTATACAGCGAGCAGGTGCATGTCTATTAAACAGTGAGCAGCCTATTGGGGGGGGAGGGGGCCTTAAAAAAAAAAAAAAGAAAAGAAGCGGTATAAAATGACAAAGAGCACTCTGATTGGCTTAAACCAACCAATCAGAGTGTTCTTAAACTAATTGCAGGGCGGGGCAAAAGCCTTCCCCCGCCCTGAGTAGCTCAGTCTGCGCGGAGCCCTCCATGGGTGAAGATGGATTACTTTTTTTAGCGTCAGGTTTTTTCTTTTTCGTCTGGATTTTTTTTGGCGCTCGGGTTTTTAATTTTATTTTAAGTTCCACGGGTATGACGGCTTTTTATTTGGCTTTTTCTGGGGCTGAAAAATGAAGAATTTAGAAAAAAATTAGACGTCAAATGGTAAGTTTAATTTTTATTTACAGGTTAGTTATTTTATTCCCCCCTCACTATTTTTAGGGTGAGGGGGGTGACTAGGGGCTTGGTACCCCTAGTCACCTTGATTGGGGAGGGGAATTTTTATTTAGGGCCCCCATCCGCTGCTCAGGGGTGGTGGCCAGGGGGGAGGACAGTAGGTCCCCCTCCCCCCTTAACGTTTTTAGGGCACCCACCCACCGCTCAGGGGTGGGAGGACAGTAGGTCCCCCTTATTGTTTTTAGGGCCCCCACCCACTGCTCAGGGGTGGTGGCCAGGGGGGAGGACAGTAGGTCCCCCTCCCCCCTTAACGTTTTTAGGGCACCCACCCACCGCTCAGGGGTGGGAGGACAGTAGGTCCCCCTTATTGTTTTTTTAGGATAGTAGTTTTCTTTTTTTAAACAGCGAGGAGCCACAGGCTGCTCACTGTTTAGTATACATGCCCCTACTCTGGGGAGATTTTAATATTCCTTATGCTATTATGGGGGTCATATTGACCCCCATAGAGTGAGGGGGGACATGGAGAGTTTAGGAAGTGGTGGGGAGCAGTGCTCCCTGCCACTTCTATCTTTACATTTACAAGGAGGGAGCTGCGTGCCGGTAGCTCCCTCCTTGTAATAAACTGAACAAACACTGATATTCGGTGTTTGTTCGTCTGAAATATCCATTCATTCATTCAGCTTTCTGACGAATGAATGAATAGATGAAATTCCCGTTCGCATGTCCAAGTATTTCACTGGGCATGTGCGGGAATTTCACAGTCTATCTAGTGTGGGCAGATGACGTGTCCCACAGGGACTTCATCTACCCACACAAAGATGGCGGCGCCCTGAATATAGATTGGGGCAGAAAATAAAGATACAAAAATAGGTAATATGGGGGGTTTAGGGGCATTTGGGGTAAATTAGAGATAGTGGAGGCAGGAGGGGGTTAAAAAAAAAAAAAAAAAACACGGGATTTGACCATGACCGTGCCGCTTTAAGCAGAATAGGAATACACCTAAATCCTAGACTGTTTGTATGCCAAAAAAATAAAAAATTCTGCTCTAACCTAGGTGATACTTTTTTTTAAGATTTAATAATGCATATACAGAACATATCCATAATTGTTATTTAGAACTTTTTATTAAAGGAAATGGAAAAAACAAATCTAGTTTAAGAGACCTTTCCATAACTCACCCTGTGTTGTACTCCAATCAAGACCACCAACAAACAGTTTTCTGTAAAAAGAGAAGGAGTAAATAGACATTTATAGAGAGTTCAAGACTTTTTAAGGTTGCAGCAATGCCATGTTACAGAGAAACCGCTATTTAGGTTTGTTTTAATTAAACATTGTGCTTGAAATTAAGTCCAACTACATAAAATAACATTAAGATAAGTACATTTTCTACTAGTAATTAATGCTAGGAGTGTTTTTAGCATACAATGAAACAGCAGTACTCAGGCTAAAAACAAACAATCACACCATTCTACATCAAAACCCACATATACATCAGTGTTTCTTTTCCCCTAGTTTTGGTACCGCATTTGGTAATGTAGGTGTATATATACTGTTTTTCTTTACCTCCACAGAGTAAAGCTTGTTTGAGCAATGCTTGTTTAGCTTTTGTCTCTCTCAATATTTTTATGTTCATTATTTGGTGTCAGATACCACCTTTCTAGAACTGTGAAATGCTGCAGAATTTATTGGCACTAGATAAATGATAATAAAATATAGAGACTGGTCACCATGCCAATTCTACAGCAGTATTTACAGCTAATCTAGTCTCATATACATAATTTGGGTTTCAAAAAAAATGTAATGTCTGTTTAACCCCTTAAGACCTGAGGGCGTACTTGTACGTCCTCCGTTCTTTCTGTACTTACCCGGTCGCCGGCGATCGCGGTGGGGGGGACTCCCAGGGAGCCCCCTGCGGCACATCCGACCCCCTGGAAGCCCCCCAGGCCATGTGAGAGTGAGGTCCTTGCGAGGACCCCACAATCACATGGCCGGGGGTAGCTGCCCCTGCTGGCTGAAAATAAAATTAAAATAAATCATTTAAAATGTAAAGTGTAAAAATAAATATATATATATATACATACATACATACACACACAGACATACACTGTCTAGGTGTATTTTACTATATATTTATTATCAAATTACACGTAGACCGATACTGATTAAATATATATATATATATATATATATATATATTGTTATATTTATATATAATATAAAAAAAGCAATATGTAAATACGTTAAAAAATAAAATTAAAAAAATAATTAAAAAATATATAGATGTGTTTTATTTCGTTGTAACTGTATTGTGATAATATATATATATTTATATCAAAATATACGTAGAACGAAATATATATATATATATATATATATATACACACACACACACACACATTAATTCTACACACACACACACACACACACACACATATATATATATATACACACATACATACATACATACATATATACATACACACACACACACACACATAATTAGGTATCTTAATTAATTACAATTAGCGGGACCTGCCTGACAACCCATGCCGAAAGTAAAGGGAATTTCATTTGCTAGCACTATATTTAACCCTATAACTTTCCAAGACACCATAAAACCTGTACATAGGGGGTACTGTTTTACACGTGAGACTTTGCTGAATACAAATATGTGTATTTTATTGCAGTAAAAGCAAACCGCATTATGACACTGACAGTTAAAATGTCATGTAGAACTAAAAATAAATAAATCTTATTTTCTCCCATTTTTTTTCATATTAAATTATGTTTCATAGCTAAATATTTGATATTAAATGAAAGCCCTGTTTCCCCTGAATAAAATGATATATAATAAGGGTGGGTGCATTTACTATGAAAGAGTTGAATTACGGTTGGACAGACATGCAGCGCAAATGCCAGGTTTTGTTTACATTTTGTTTCGTTCACAACGTGAACATTTGGCTCTGTCCTTAAGGGGTTAATTAACCCCTTAAGGACTGCGCCAAATGTACACGTTTTGATCAAAATAAAATGTAAACAAAACGTGGAATTTGACTATATGCCTGTTCAATTGCAATTCACTTCTTTCATATTAAGTGCACCCACACTTATTAAATATTTTATTCATGAGAAATGGGGCTTTCATTTAACATCAAATATCTAGCTAGGAAACATAATTTAATATGAATAAAATATAAACAAATGTGAGAAATTAGGAAATATTTTTTTTTAAAGTCTGCATGACATTTTAACTGTAAATGTCAAAATACTGTTTAATTTTACTGAAATAAAATACACATATGTATTGTATACAGCGATGACTCACGTGTAAAACAGTACCCCCTATGTACAGGTTTTATGGTGTTTTGGGAAGTTACAGGGTCAAATATAGCATGTTACATTTTTTTCACACTGAAATTAGCCAGATTGGTTACATTGCCTTTGAGACCGTATGGTAGCCCAGGAATGAGAATTACCCCCATGATGGCATACCATTTTCAACTCTTAGACAACCCAAGGTAAATGGAGTATGTCCAGTGTTTTTTAGTAGCCAAAAACACTGGGCAAAGTTAACGTTAATATTTGTTTGTGTGAAAAATGCAAAAAACTAAATTTAAATGCCAATTTTGGCCAGTGTTTGTGACCAAATATACAAACACAAAGCTAAAGCACAGCGCTTACAGCAGCAGTAGATTAGTATCCAACAGCTTAAAATACATACTAAAAACAAAGAACGTTACCTGCGCTCTGGCCTAAATCCCCATGTACATTTAAACAAAATGGAGGCTCTTTAGTTTTATTCCAATGGCCATTTGAATATATAAGCTCACCTGCCACGTCAAGGCAAGCCTCAATAGGTGATATGCTGATATCAGCCAAGAATCTCAGTGAGACAGGAAGGGGTATTTTATAAACCCTTTATAGGGCTTCTACACATACAATAAACTTTGCTGGTCTCAGACAAAGTGTAAACATCTCTAATGAGATTATATATGTTTTATGGCTAATGTAGGAACTCACCTATTGAGGCTTGCCTTGACGTGGCAGGTGAGCTTATATATTCAAATGGCCATTGGAATAAAACTAAAGAGCCTCCATTTTGTTTAAATGTACATGGGGATTTAGGCCAGAGCGCAGGTAACTTTCTCTTTGGTTTTAGTTTGTGACTAAGTGATTACTAAAAAAGACTGGACATACCCCATAATAATAATTTTTAACACACACACATAATCATTCTACATGTATTTTGAGAATATATATATATATATATATATATATTAAAACGCACTTAGTGTATGTGTAAGTTATATATACTTAGATCATATATATATATATGGGATCTAAGTATCTATTATTTTACACTGTTTTACAACTTTTCTACAGGCAGCAGGGAGACTACCTGTCATTCCAGGTACTCCCCCTGCTGGCACAGCTATGGACGGCTATTCCATCCATGTGATCATGAGGTCCTTGCAAGGACCTCGCGATCACATGGCCAGGGAGAGCCGGATCAGCAGCAGGGGGAATCGCCGGCGTGGACGCGCTAAGCCGCCCGCCGGCATTTAGACCCGGGCCCCCAAGGATGGCATAGCACGCACGCTGTCCTTAAGGGGTTAACTAGGCTTTCTAAAGATCCCAATACAAGGCAAAGTGGGTGAAGGTTAATATAGTCACCAGAACAACTACAGCTTATTGTATATGTTCTGATGAGTATAATCATTCCCTTCAGGCTTTTTGCAGAAAATACTGTATTTTCAGAGAAGCCTAGGGATACCTCCACTGGCCCTCATATGGCTGCTAGAGGCGCTTCTTGGGATAGTGCTGCATAATGTGCAGCACTGACACTAAGTGTCTCTACCCTCTGCATGGAGACACTGAACTTGAACTTTTCTCATAGAGATGCATTGATTCAATGTATTTCTAAGAGGAGATGCTTATTGCGTTTGACTTGTGCTGGCTCTGTCCCTGATCTGCCTCCTATGTGAAAGCATTTTGATTGGCCCAGAACACCACTTCTGATGATGTCAGCCAAGCAGGCAGATCAGGGGCAAAGCCAGAAGCAACAGACTGGAATAAAGGTAAGATTTTGACATATTTAGTGGAGCATGTGAGTCCTATGCTAATAGTCAGGCCTTAAAAGTTACTTGCCACTGCAAGCAATAGTACATGATTGAATTTCTACTTGGGCTAAATTTGTTGCGAGTGAAAATTTTGAGCCCTGCTGTTATTGTTACTTCCTGCTACCGTGTGAATACATTTATTAGTGGTGCAACATCACAATGAACAACTATTCAACACTGCACATACTAACACCAGGCATCATGCCCACTTCGAATCACACCGATAGTCACTACAGGTGCTTACCCTGAAAACAACAGTAAAACTCCGCTATTTCAATCAGGTGGTCTCACAGAGAGACCATATGATTTGCGCAGTGTGTGATTTTGCTGCATATGGGAAAGCATTGGATTGAATAATAGCTTTGATATTAACCAAGGTGGAGGGGCGTGCTGTGGACCATTGATGCAAGGCTTTAGTAAACTCACCTTGTTAATCCTTGCAGTGAGGGCCATTAACCTAAACTAGGGTACGATAGCATTAGCACGATAAAGTGTTCTTTAAATTTATTTAGAAGCTGCTGATGATGTTAATTAAAAAATAATAATAAATAGGTGTGCTTTGGAAAAGTGTTCTCTCATTGAAGTGTGTCTTGGTCCAAAAAAGGTCGGGTGCCACTGGTTTGGAACATCATTCATAAACACTGCTTAATCTACTACATCTGATATAGTTATTAATTGAATTCTGCATGACAATGACTGTATAAACATATGTTGGGCAAGTACAAATACATGAATTTCACGACTTTTTTCAGAGGAGTGTAGATTTTTTTAAATTAGATTAGAGGAAGTCTAAACATTCTGAAGCATCGTATGTAGTAGTGGCACAGAGAAAAACTTGTCTTGTTCAAAACTGATTCAACACCATTTAGCCCTTCAGCTAAGAAAGGGTTTATCTACACAACCTCTACAATGCAATATCCCCTGTGGGGCTGACTGCACACCAAATGTGCTCTTACCCATCCTGCTTTGTCAGATTAATAAACAGGTGCTCTGTACAGCAATTACTAAACAATGAGTGAACCAGTTTGACCGGTTTGTAGCCCAAACCTCAGCAGACATTCTGATCCCTGCTGCTGCTGAAGGTACAGGGAATTATAAATTGGCATTATAATATTAAATGTGTCTGGGAATTATTATAAGTTGGCATTATAATATTAAAACAATATGTGTATGGCATATAGCTTCCATTACATGCACACACAACCTAGTCCCAGGGAGCATGATTGGTTTACATAGTTACTAAGGGCCGCGTGGTTTAGAGGACACCCTGTGTTGCAGCCTGGGTGCCCGTTCACAGTGGGGTTAGTTTAGGTAAGGTCAGGGCACACCCCAGCGTGCAGGGCACGGGGAGTAACATGATAGGTCAGTGTGCCCGGCCGGCTGCGGTACATTCCTCGCTACTTCCTTATTCACTAAACAGCGAAATGAAACCGGCTTGGCACGTTATAGGCCAACAGAGCCGCATTGGAACATGCACAATAATTTATCCGCAACTTGGAAATCGGTTTCCAATTCGCAGTTTGGTAAATACACCCTGCACGGAGTCTCACTCGCAGGCCAGTCTCCCCTCTAAACCCCCAGGACAATCAACCAATCAGTCACCCCTCCCCCCGTGTGAGGGTTCAGAGAGGCCTTACAGACATCCGGTAGTTACAAATATTCCGGGCCTCAAATCTCCCTAGAACTCTGTCAGGGTCAAAAGGCCTCATCCTCCCTTTTTCCCAATGTGACCCGCGCAGTGTCTCCTTCTCCTCCTCCCCGTTTCTCCCAAGTGCTGCTCTCCTTACCCGATCTCGTCCCCTCCTTGGCTGTTCATGGTTCTGCGGCTTGCTCTCTTGCTCTTTGCCGCTTGTCTCACTAGCTCCGACCAACGGTAACACGGCGGCGCGTGGCTACGGGGTTTCCAGACAGGGGGCGCTGCGTGCGACGTCGGCGCGCGGCATGCCGGGAGTTGTAGTTTCACAAATGGGCTACAGTTGGTTTTATCAATAGATACTCTCTTTCTCTGTCTCTCTCATAGAAAGTACACTTCAGTGCTCTAAGGATACATTGGGTTATTTACTAAAGTGACATTTGTCGGGAATTCAACGTGACTTTCAAATTAAAAAGGATTCTAGTGTTAATACAAATCTGTATTCCCAACACTATAGTGGTTTCTGGTACCCCCCCCCCCAGCAGATAACTCACTCGATCTCCCTCAGCGCTGGGTCAGCATTTTGCCTTCTCTGACATCATCCGACGGGGGGGGACCTAATGCGCATGGGCTGCAAGCGCATTAGGCCCTCCCCATAGGAAAGTATCCACTGACGCCAGATGTCCTCGTGCAGAGCATGAGATCGCCCAGCGTCGTTTAAGGGACTGAGAGTCTGCTAGAATCCAGGAAGTGCCTCTAACGAATGTCTGATAGACAGCTACTGGAGGCAGTCTTAGTCCTGCAAGGTAAGTGTAAGGAAATCAAGTATAGCTGAACCGCTTTGATAATTCCTCCTGCAATGCCAGCGTCTACGGTAGCTCTAAGCAATGAAGTCCATAAGAAATATAACAGCTTCCCAAGATAATCCCCTTGGTAAAGCATACAAATTCCCAAATAACAGTCAGAGTCCAGAATCAGGATACAAGTAGATCTGAGGTCTGGAATCTCCAGCCTGCTTTTTATTAAGGTTACAGACAAGAAATACACACCCAGGGGGAGGCATTAAATCACCAATCAGGTATAGGTTACAGCCCATACCTCCCTCCCCTCTGATAAACAGTTAACTTAATTAAAACGTACACTATTTTACCCCAGTTCTGGATGTACCCCAAAAACAGGGGGTACACCTTTAAATTGGGTACCGCTGGATAGTTCTCATTTGTGGGGACAACATATCAAAAAATCAGTCCATTCGGATGAATGGTTCGGGAGTTATGGAACACTAAAGTTTTGACCGACCGCACGGACCATCTAGCCGAAAATAGTTCCATAAGTTTTGGCCCTGCGGTCGGTCTCCGTTTAGGCGAATAAAAGAGACGAAAGCCCTGCCATCCATTCGCATCTTTGTGATCGTTGAAATCCCCATACGAAGTTGCATGTAACTACCGAACGGCCGGTGATTCGGTCGTTCCCGTGCGAAGTTCTGGATGTATGGAGGTCTCAGCGGTGTTCGCCTGTTTGCGTATCCGATTTTAGTTCCACGCGTTGACGGGCAAACACCGCTGTTCGCACGTAAAATGGCCGCGGCCACGTGTAAAGTGCCGAAATGGCGGCCATCTATATTTTACACAGGGAATTCGCCTGAATCCATCCGAAGGGTAGAAATGAAAGCTGGATGCCGAATTCCAGCTGAGTTTGGTGAATTAACTGTACAACAAAAGGTAGAAATCCTGATTAACGGAGTCATTTCTTCACACTGCTCCCCTATAAGTCCATAGGTCGGCATACCCGCCTAGACCCTGTCGGGTTGGCTTGGGGATGTCCGATGAAAGTACGTTTTTAGGTGTCCAGTTCGGTCTGGCGGGACAGACCATCCGCATTCCCATTTTGTTTACCCGGACGGTACTGCATGGTAAAATTGTATGGTTGGAGAGCTAAGCTCCACCGGAGTAGCCTGGGGTTGTCACCAGCTACCCGGTTGAGCCATACCAGGGGGTTGTGGTCGGTCATAAGGGTAAACGCTCGCCCATACAGATAGGGCTGAAGTTTCTTGAGGGCCCACACGAGGGCCAAGCACTCTTTTTCTACGGTGGCATAGCTGACTTCTCGGGGCAAAAGTTTACGGCTGAGGTATGCCACCGGGTGTTCCATGCCATCCGCCCCCACCTGGCTTAGCACGGCTCCCAGCCCAAACATGGAGGCATCTGTGTGGACAAGAAATTGTTTAGTGTAATCGGGTGCTGCCAACACAGGGGCCTCACTCAATGCCGCTTTGAGCTTCTGGAAAGCGTCCGTGCACTCTGGGGTCCAGGAGACCTGTTTGGGAAGAGCCTTTTTGGTAAGGTCCGTGAGGGGCTTGGCCAGGGCGCTATATTCTGGGACGAACTTTCTATAATACCCGGCCGTCCCTAAGAAAGCCAGTACCTGGGTTTTGGTCCGGGGTTGGGGCCAGTTAGCTATGGCCTCTACCTTAGCGGGCTCTGGGCGTTGTCTACCGGAGCCGACCCGGTGGCCTAGATACTGGACCTCGGCTAGGCCTACGTGACATTTGTCGGGTTTCAAAGTGAGCCCTGCGAGGTGGATTCGTTCGAGTACCCTGGACACATGACCTAGATGGTCTCCCCATGTGCGGCTATAGATGGCAATATCATCTAGATACGCACATGCGAAGTCCTGAAACCCCTCCAGGAGCCTATCCGCCATCCGCTGAAACGTAGCCGGGGCGTTCTTCATCCCAAAGGGCATCACCTTGAATTGGTATAGCCCAAAAGGGGTGACGAACGCCGACTTGGGGATGGCCGCAGGCTCCAAGGGGATCTGCCAGTAACCCTTGCACAGGTCCAGGGTAGTCAAGTAGTTCCCCCCCGCCATACGGTCTAAGAGCTCATCTATTCTAGGCATGGGGTAGGCATCGGTTATGGTACGGTCGTTAAGCCTCCGGTAATCTACACAGAAGCGCGTAGTGCCGTCGCGCTTCGGTACTAGTACCACCGGGGAGGCCCAAGGACTTTGGGAGGGTTCTATTACCCCTAGCCGTAACATATCCCTTAACTCGGTGAGCATACTCTCACGTACTGCTTCTGGGATCCGATATGGCTGTTGCCGTAGGGGCATCTCTCCCTGGGTTTCCACACGGTGTACCGCAGCGGAGGTATAGCCGGGGGTAGCGGAAAACATCTCTCGGTATCCCTGCAGCAGTTGAGTAGCCTCCTCTTTCTCCAGGAGGTCTAAATTTTGACCCAAGCTTACTTGGTCAATAGTACAGGGGGTGGTATCCAGTAAGTCAGGAAGGGGTAGCCCTTCACTATCCTCTGTGGCGGGGGCGCACACGGCGCCCACCTCCTCTGTTCTTTCAAAATATGGTTTGAGCATGTTCACATGGAAGGCTTTGGTCAGCCTTTCATCTGAGCATTTGCTCACGATGTAGGTAGTCTCGCTAACCTGTTCCACTACCTTAAAGGGTCCCTGCCAGGCTGCTTGCAGCTTGTCTTTTTTAACTGGCCTCAGAGCCAGTACCTTCTGCCCTAAGTCCAGCACTCTATCCTGGGCCCTCCTATCGTACCACTTTTTCTGGTCCTCCTGGGCCGCCTGCAGGTTCTCCCGAACTGATTCGGTGAGGGCCCGCAGACGGTCCCGGAACTCCAGGACATACTGGACGATATCTGTATTGCCCTCCCAGTGTTCCCGTACGAGCTCCAGTGGGCCCCGAACTTTTCTCCCGTACAGGAGTTCGAAGGGGGAAAACCCAGTGGAGGCCTGGGGCACCTCACGGTAGGCAAACAGAAGGTGGGGAAGGAATTTTTCCCAATTCTTGTGGGACTCTGTAAAAGTTTTTAGCATCTGTTTTAGAGTGCCATTGAAACGTTCACAGAGCCCGTTAGTCTGGGGATGATACGGGGCGCTGAACAGGGGTTGCACTCCACAGCTCTGCCACAGTTGTTGCGTCAGGGTAGCTGTGAACTGCGTCCCCCGATCGGAGAGTATCTCCTGCGGGAAACCTACTCGGGTGAATATCTGAATAAGGGCCTCTGCCACGGTCTCGGCCTCTATATTGGTGAGGGCGACTGCCTCCGGGTATCTAGTGGCGTAGTCGACCACTGTTAGGATAAACTTTTTGCCCGACGGGCTGGGGCGACTGAGGGGTCCTATTAAATCCACCGCCACTCGGTGGAAGGGCTGTTCGATGATGGGTAGGGGGTGCAGCTTAGCCTTCCGAAGGTCTCCCCTTTTTCCTACCCTTTGGCTGCAATAGTACTTAAGGTCCTGGGTGGCTCTGGGCCAGAAGAAGGTTTGAGTTAACCTGTCTCTGGTCTTTTTGACCCCTAAATGTCCTGCTAGGGGAATGTCATGACTGAGTTTTAACAACTCAGCCCGAAATTTACGGGGCACAACTAACTGTCTTTTATGACCTGGGTAGCCCCCTGTCCCACCCCCTCGGTTACCCTATATAGCAACCCCTTATACCACTCAAATTTTTCGTGCGGGTTGTTCTCGGGGGTAGCGGCCGCGGCCTTCCTATAGCCTTCTAATGTGGGGTCAGTACGCTGTTCCTGTTCAAACCCCTGGGGGGTATCCCAGAAGGGTACGGGGGGATCGGGTAAGGGAGGTATTTCGAATCTTACCTGGTTTTCCTCAGAGTGCAGCGGAGCTTCCAGTCTGGCTTGAGCTCGGGTGGTAACCGGGTAGGCCTCGGCAGGGGGGTCTCGGGCTAGTTGGGAGGTTAGGCATCCCACATCATTTCCCAACAAAACCTCGGCGGGCAGTTCTTGCATAATCCCCACCTCCAGTTGTTTAGCCCCGGAACCCCAATCAACAAGCATATTAGCGGTGGGCAGTTTGTGAATAGCGCCCCCAGCCACCCTTACAGCGACTGTGCGTCCGGTGCGAGCTTGTGCTCTGACCGTGTGGGGCTGTACCACAGTCAAAGTAGCCCCAGAGTCTCTCAGCGCCCGGGCCCCCACGCCATCGACGGTAATCCATTGGCGGTGGTGGTCCCGGTTGTCCCCCCCAGCTTGTACTGGATTGACCTCATGTAATACGCTCCACTGTTCTTCGTGGTTAAGGGCAGGGCCGGTGTGTTCCTGTTGCACACAGTGAGCAGCTGCCCTGGGTTGTTGTGGGGCTGGCCGTTCCCAGCTTCCCCGGTTTAAGCGAGGGCACTGATACTTGTAATGTCCTGGTTGCTTGCAGTAGTGACACACTGCAGGAGGTCGAGGTGTGTTTGCTGGGTTCGGTGGGGGGTTACCTATGGCAGGTCTAGGTGGAGTCGGGTTTGTTGGAGCTGT